TATAGGGAGAGAGTAGTCCATTATCTTCATCATCATCATGATCATAAGTATCATTTGAATAGAAGATGCATAGTGGAGATGTGGTCATCATAATATGGGCCGCCGCCCTTTCTCTTATGGGCGTGGCGGCGTCCGCCGAAGTTATAGAGCATACGTTTAACGTAAGTCTTCCCTCCCTCATCACCTTTGCCTCCATCATTATTGCATTTCCATTTATACCCCGATCCCTCCCTTGAATTGAGTGATGTTATAGGACATACTAATATTATTAGGTGCTCGTAATTTTAATTATTTGATGTGTTTTGTAAGTGTCAAAAAATTATAAAATGGTTATTAAAAATTAAATTTAGCGCTGAATAGTAGCTAATTTTGGATCGCGAAGGTGTTTTGTTCAATATTTCATCTAGTAAAATATTTTTAAAATATTATTTTATTTAAGAACATGTGAAAGATGATACTTCCTCTGTCCCGAAAAACATGTGAGTTTTGATTTTGAAGAGGGATTTAAGGAGAGTGTATTTTGGTATTGAATTTCCAAAAATGTCCTTTGATGTGATGGGTAAAAGTATGATTTGATGGATAGATTATTAGTAAAAATGTATGATGTGATAGGTAGGGTATGAAAAAGTAAGGGGTAAAAGTGACTTTTTAATAGAAATGATAAGTGTTTTTTGGGACGAATGAAAAAAGAAAGGAGAAAGGTTTTCAGGGACGGATGGAGTACATTTTATCCTCATATCGCACGCACTATCTTGACACCATTTCAATTGGAAAAATCTAGGGGTACACCAAAGGTGTACCCCATATGTCCCCTACCCCCTCCTTGTCCACTAAAAAAGGCAAAAAAATTTAAAAAAAATAAGTAAATAAAAATCAAATAAAAATGTATGGTGGAGAAGGAGTGGTGTACATTTGGGGTACACCTTTGGGTACACTTTCAATTGAGCCACTTGTACTACTCCGTTCTAAAATTGATTCTTCTTCTCATCTAACACTCCCCAAAACTAAAGCTTTTTCACATGTTTTCCTCCAGCCCCCATCCCCACACTCTTGATCGCTGATTCTGCAGTAATATATCACAATTCATAACAAGGAATTATCAAGAAACTATCACAATTCAATGTATTTTATTTTTTATAATTTATGGTCAAAATTAAAAAATATCTACGGGTGAAAAGTCAAACGAAAATAACTCATTACGGGTATCATGTACTTTTGGATCACTTGATGATATATGGAAGATATGGATGCAGGTGCACAATTTTACAGTGGAGCGGCTATGTAGGAGACAAGAAATAACCGGAGTCAACGGAGGCCTTCCCGGTCCAACCATCCGCGCCAGAGAAGGCGACACCCTCGCCGTCCATGTCCTCAACCATTCACCCTACAATGTTACCATCCATTGGTCGCTCCTCCATTCATCTCACATACATTATTAAGTCAACATCTTTTAATTTTACCCTTCAAAAAAAAAGTTAAAAGTTATCATCTTTTTTACTTTTTTTTTTGTTTCACAATTTTCAAAACCACAACACACCATTGTTTTCAAAATTCAACCCGTGATCCAGAGACACTCATTCACGGATTTATATACGTGAAATTTGCAGTAAGATATACCTCCTTCGTCCCAAAAACATGTTTATGTTTCATTTTTTGCGTATCTCATGAAACATTTCTACTCATATCTAAAATGCCTAAAATTTACAATATTTCTCTTTTATTGTGGGTAGACGTTGTTTTGAATGTTTTCTTTTGACATTTTAGACGGGATAAAAATGTTTTATAATATAATAATGTGCTCAAACAGTGTCACATTACAACCACATATATTACCACAATGTGAAGTCCTATTTGGAGAATAAAAACATGTATCTCCTATTTTGGTACTCTTTTCAATGTTTTGGTCCTATTTAGGGTAATTTCTAATAAAAACATATGGTACTACATTGCGAAAATCACTATGTTATAGTACTGTTTAGGTAAATTCCCCTGATTATATATAGGCATGGAGTTCTACAACAGTTAAGTGGATGGGCGGATGGACCCGCATTTGTTACCCAATGCCCGATTACGCCCGGGCAACGCTACACATACAGGTTTAACATAAGGGGACAAGAGGGAACTCTATGGTGGCACGCTCATTCCTCCGTCCTTCGAGCCACCGTCCACGGCGCACTAGTCATCCTCCCCAGTGAGGGTCGCTCTTACCCTTTCCCCGTCCCCTACCACGACTTCACCATCCTCCTAGGTACCCTCCCTCCCTAATTAATGACCTAGATAGCTAGTAACTAATCTTACCTTTCATTTCATTTATTCAATATAATAGTCCTCTTTATTCAATTAAATCGTTTAATTATGTGACATTTCTTCGGTTTGATTTGTTTGAGTAAAAAGTCAAACTAAACAAATTTTGCACAGTAATGAACTACTCTGGTAAATGTTACTCCTCCCTAGATTTTTGTAAATTTATTGTAATTGAAAATTAATTAAAATTCATTCACTTTTATTTGAAAAAGTCGAGCATAATGAACAATTAAGAGTAATGTCTAAATGATACTCCATCCGTTCTCAAAAACACTTCTTTTTTCATTTTTTCCACTTCCAACAAAACACTTCCCTTTTCTATTAAAAAACCACTTTTACCCTTACTTTTTCATACCCCACCTATCACATCATTCTTTTTCTCTAATAATCTATCCATCACATCCTACTTTTACCCATCACATCAGGGGCAAAATTGGAAATCAACTATAATTTAACACTTCCTTATTTTTGCCCCAAATCAAAATGAGAATGGTTTTTCCAAACGGAGGGAGTACTTTATAACAAAGTGTTTTTTTTTCAAATTAGTTCTCAATAGACAAATAATTACCTACGTTGTACATTATAGTCAAGATTTATAACCTTGATAGTGCTTCAAAAAATATGTTTATCAAATGACTATTTAGTGTAATCTCTTTTACTCCCTTCGTTACTTAAAACCATTCCTATTTTGATTTTGGGCCAAAATAAAAAAAGTGTAATTTTGGTTGACTTTCCAATTTTTCCCTGATATGATGAGTAAAAGTAAAGATGTGATAGTTTGGTTATTGGTGAAAAAGTATGGTGTGATAGGTAGAGTATGAAAAAGTAGCTAGGGGTAAAAGTAGTTTTTAATAGAAAGTGTAAGTGTTTTAAGAATTTAGAAAAAAATAAAGAGAATGGATTTTATGGAACGGATGGAGTAGTATTTTTTTCATCATCTAAAGAATGGGAAAGTTCTCAAAATAATCTTTTGTAATTAAATATTGGAAAATGTTAGATGTACCCCAAAATTTGTACTTCATTTGTACACCAAAGACATGCACCAACATTTTAATGGTTCACACTGACACAAAGTGTTGGTGCGTTAACAAAAATTTACACTGACATAAAGTGTTGGTGCATTAACAAAAATTAGCATTACACCAACACAAAATGTCAGTGCATCTCTACGGTATACAAAATTGGGTACAAATCTTTGGGGTACAAATAGCTTTATCCTTAAATATTTTTCCCAAACCATCCTTCTCAGGTAATAATTATACTATCACCCTAATTGTTAGAGGACTATCATAGAAAAAATCTCAATAATAAAGTATCATTTGATAATTATTGTTCATTGAAAACTATGGAGGAGAAATATCTCATTTACATTATAATTTCTTTTCCATCAACTCTAAATAATTTTTGTTTATCATTATGTTTTCATTAATTATTTGATAAAATAAAATATTTGTAACACTTTTATTTTTAAGTATGTAATCTTTATTTTTATTTTTATATCAATTCTTAAATAAAATAATTGCAAAAACACAGAGCTTGTCTCTAATGATTATTTGATTATTGATGATTAATTTGAAGAACGACTCATTAGTAAAAAAAGAATATTTTAAAAATTAAAGAAATAACATGGATGCAGGAGAGTGGTGGAACGCTAATGTAGTTGACATAGAGAAGGAAGCCATCGCCCGCGGTGGTGCCCCTAACATCTCCGACGCTTTCACCATTAACGGCTATCCCGGCGGTCTCTACAATTGCTATTCCACGTCTAATAAGACGCCGCCTGGTACCTATAGGATGAGGGTTATACAAGGCAAAACATACCTACTCCGCATCATCAACGCCGCGCTCAACAACCAATTGTTCTTCAAGGTCGCCGGCCACACCTTCAAAGTCGTGGCGGTGGACGCTGCATACACCGCCCCCTACAACACCGACGTGGTGGTCGTCGCTCCCGGGCAAACCACCGACGTGCTTCTCGTTGCCGATCAATCACCCGCCCGCTACTACATGGCGGCCCGCCCCTACGCCAGCGCCGCCAATGCGGTGTTCGACAACACCACGACCACCGGTGTTTTGGAATACCACGGGGCGGTTCCGTCTGTACCGCCCAAAATGCCGGAGTTACCCTTGTACAACGACACTCCGACGGCGCACAGATTCTACTCCAACCTCACCGGGCTCGTGACGGGCCCGTTTTGGTCCGCCCCGCCATGCGAGGTGGACGAGAAAATGTTGATCACCGTCGGGCTCGGCCTCGCCGACTGCGGGGACAACACCGCCACCTGCAGCGGAGGGATTAACGGTCAGCGATTGGCAGCAAGCATGAACAACGCCTCCTTCCAACTGCCGACCAAACTATCGCTGCTGGAGGCCACGTTCATGGGAGAGGTCAATGGGGTCTACACCACTGACTTCCCTGACCAGCCTCCAGCGAAGTTTGACTACACGAACGTCACTAACACCTTGAACGCCACGTTACGGACGACGGTGAAATCGACTAGAGTGAGGAAAGTCAAGTTCAATTCGACGGTGGAGATTGTGTTTCAGAACACGGCGTTGATCGGGGCGGAGAATCACCCCATGCATCTGCATGGCTTCAACTTCTACGTGTTAGCTCAGGGGTTCGGGAACTATAACCCTTTAGTTGACCCGGGGAAATTCAACTTGTTTAGTCCACAACAACGAAACACCATCGCTGTTCCCTCCGGAGGATGGGCCGCCATTAGATTCCGAGCCGATAACCCAGGTGCACTAAAACTTTTTTTTGTCAAACAGTTGCACTTTTACTACGTGTACATTATTTGATGCAACACATTTTTCTTTAAATGATGAACTGAATGTTGCAGGAGTATGGTTGTTACACTGTCATCTCGACGTGCATTTGTCGTGGGGATTGTCGACGGCGATAGTGGTGGAGAATGGGCGGACGCCGTCAACGAAGCTTCCTCCGCCGCCGGCTGATTTGCCAAAGTGCGAGCTAAGCACCCACTCCGGAGTTGAGATACCGTATTTGTTGATTCTCAAGATCTTTATTTCCTCATTGGTTTGCTATGGTGTGATGCGCACTTGTTTCGTCCTCACACGTGCACGTTCGGGCTACAAGAGAGTTGTTCATCAGTGACGAACCACAAAATATACTCCATCCATACCTAAAAGATGTTCCTGTTTTATTTTTTAGCTATCCCATGAAACACTTTTATCTAACCTTAAATGTCAAAAAAGACTTTCAAAAATTACTCCGGAGTATATTATTGCATGTCCATGCATGGTTTGATTAAAAATGACCATTTATACGTTCGTTTAAGGTTCATACTATATGCGTGTCTTTATTTAGTTTTGGTGGTGCCTTTGATCGAGTTTTTGTTTGTTTCTCTATTTCTTGGAGCAATTCCCAATATATGTACTCCCTCATTTGCAAAAACATTATTTCCTAATTTGACCAAAAGCCAAAATAAAGAAAGGTTAAATTATAGTTACTTCCAAATTTTGTCTTTAATGTGATAAATAAAAGTAAGATATGATAGATAGATTAATAGTAAAAAAGTACTTCGTATGATGTGATAAGTAGGGTAAAAAAAAGTAGGAATAAAAATGGTTTTTTATTAGAAAATAAAAGTGTTTTGATAGAAGGGAAAAAATGAAAGAAGTGTTTTGGTGAACAGAGGGAGTAGATAGGTGTTGTTTGAGATTGTAATAAATACGGAGTATTGAGGAGTTTAACTGAATATCAATAAAACATAATGACTTTCCTTAAATAACATCATATGTGTTTATTTTTCAATGTAGCACTTTTAGTCATTACCCATTAGTCATTATTCAGGTAAATTTTCACCATCACTCGACATTATTCTTCCTTCTAGACATTATTAAGTGCTATTTAGGAAATAAAAAAGTTTAAGTCCTACATTGAGAAATGATTTATGTTTTAGTACTATTTAGTGCAAATATTTCATAAACATATTGTTAGAGTGTTTGAGAATAATTTTTGAATTTCTACTTAACTAAAAATAGTTTCTTTCGCAAATTCTTCTATAATTCTTCTGTAATACAAACACCTCCGCATCCTCAGATGCCTCTGCTACCCAAATCTATCCGCCACTGCTCCAATAAACTAACTGCACGTTTCGCTCGGTGCATTTTTTTTGCTATCCTAACTCTAAACGTGGCTATCGTTGCTTGGACTTAAATACCCACAAAATCATCGTCTCACGTCATGTCACATTTGATGAGTCATCCTTCCTCTATGCCCCCCAACACCCTCCCTCTGATTCCAATTTTCTTGACGCCATGGAGGACAACATACGCCCTCATCATCACTCACCGTCTTCCCCATCACCCTCACCCCATGCCACTACCACGTCACAAAGCAGCTCACCTTTTAACTCTCCTTTACACGGCCATATTCTCTCCCCCATCCCCTCCACACCCCACAGTATCATACCCACGCCACCATAAAAAACAACCCACCCACTCCCTCTATCACGCCCCTCTCGGCCTCCCCTGACAGCACTGCCCACCTAAACCCCTTACCCGAAACAGCCCCACCCCATCTACCTAAACACCACTGCCGAAATATCCCCTATACCCCCTACTACCGTAGTACACTAAAAGATTCAAACAACCCCACCCCATTGCTAATAATACAGGGGGTTTAGTACCCCCTCCCCCAACCAAAATGTTATCTTTGAAAAATAACTCTTTAGACACAAACTTGGCCATACAGGTGAATTGTCCAGGTATAAAGCTCGATGGGTTGTTTGTGGGTTCAATCGGCGCCATGACATAAATTATGATGAGACATTCAGTTCGGGGGTCAAACCGACAACTATTCATTTTATAATCAGTCGCCAATCCACTAACTGTATGTCAAGAATACTTTCCTCCATGGACGCCTCAAGAAACTATCTACACCGCACAACCTTCTGGATTTCAATATCCATCCCGGCCGCATTATGTTGGTAAAATGAACAAAGCTTTATATGGTCTTAAACAGGCACCCTGGTCCTGGTATCAGCGGTTCATGGGTTTTCTTCTATCTCTCGGCTTTAGCGAATGCAAAAGTGACACCTCTTTATTTACTTATGGACAAGGGCATGACATGGCTTTCTTATTACTCTACGTGGACGACATCATTCTCAATGCCTCATCTCATAGTCGTCTCTAGACAATCACTCGGCACCTGAAAGGAAAATTTGCTATGACTGACATGTGGGATCTTCACTTTTTCTTGGGGAACAATGTTTCAGCACACCTCTCATGGATTATTTCTTACATATACTCAGTTTCTTTATGATATCCTTGATTGTGCATGTATGCTCTCTTGCAAACTGGTCTCCACTCCCTTCGATACACGAGGAAAGCTATCAGAATCTACAGGTTCCCCTGTTTCTGACCAGAAGCTGTACCGTCACATCGTGGGGGGATTAAAATACCTCACATTTACCCATCTAGACATCACTTATGCAATACAGCAACTCTATCTGCCTCTTCCTTCATGATCCCCATATGCCGCACCTCACAGCTATGAAACGGGTCCTACAATAACTCCATGACACTCCCACACACGACATCTCTATCTCTCCGTCTTAGAGTGACCACATGCGGGCTTACTCTAATGCTGATTGGGCTGGTTGCCCTGACATTTGTCGGTCCACGTCCGGATACTGCATTTTCCTTGGCGATAACTTCATATCCTGGTCTTTTAAACGTTAACTCACCACATCCAAATTCAGAACTAAAATGGAGTATCAGACAGTTACAAATGACGCTGCCGAAGTAAGTTGGGTGCGCAACCTTCTCCTCGAGCTCAAGCAACCACTGACGCGATCGAGATTAGTTTTCTGCGATAATGTCAGCAAATCCCGCCAAACAACGGGGCATGAAGCATATCGAGGTTTACATTCACTTTGTTCGAGACAGAGAAGCTCTAGGTCAGGTCCAAGTTCTTCACGTACCATCTTCGTTACAGTATGCAGACATCTTTACCAAAGGTCTCCTTTCTATTGTCTTCTCCAACTTCTGAGATTGCTTGGGTGTTCTGATAAGTTTGATATTTGTGTATATTTTATTATCTTTTGATAGATTTATTGATTTGGATTTTAATACTATTTGAATCTTAATTGTGTATTATCTGTTAAATAGGTAAATTTGGGCTGATCCTTGATAATTGATTGATTTTAGAGTTCAAACTCAAAGATGAGACCGAATTGCAAGAGAAGCTTCAATAGGGGGTCAATTTGTAATATTCAAAAGTCATTTAATTTGACCTCCCCAATTTGCAAAGGATGATAAAGGGAAGGGGATGGAGCCGCGACATTGGCGACCAATTTCCGACCCGACCCGGCTCTAGACAGGACAACGCCGGTGAGGGCCAAACTCCATTCCTCCGGCGTAACTTTCAGGAGCGACGGCGCTGGTGAACGTCGAGCTCCCTTGCTCCGGCTACGCGCTGCGACGGGCGACAACGAGGCTCCAGCTCCGGCGTCTTCTTCGGTGGTTCATCGGCGTCCAGACGAAAACCAGCGGCAGTCCAGCTCCATTTCATCTCCGACCGGCGATCCAGATTCCAGCGAAGCTCTCAGCCGGGTCGACGAATAGAGACGCAAGGAAGACAGAGTTCAGATCCAATTTGGGCTGCGAAATTACTAAATTGCCCCTGGTTCCTTCTTTTAATAATTCCAGTTATAAACCCTTTTATGTCATTTTACTTCCAATTTCTCCTACTCTATATATACTCTCCTTGCTCCAATTTTTCAAGCGAGCTCCCCCATTTTCTATTTCTCTCTTTTAGGCTAGGGTTTATTTTATCATCATCATGCTATTTTATTTTGGGGAGTTCCAATTTTAGATTTAACACTTGAATGTTTATTTTCTTGTTCATTAGTGTTAGCTTTTATTTACTTCTTATTTTTTAGTGTTAGCTTTTATTTACTTCATCTCATTCATGCTTTGTTTATGTGTTTCTCTCTTATCTTTTATGCATCTCTTTAGATTAAGCATGCTAGGCTAGATTTTCTAGCCTATGTTAAGGATGGATTGTTGATTTATACTTGTTGTTGATGGATTAGTGGGAAATATGAGATATTGCTCTAGGTTATTTGTGGAGATTGATCTTATTGTTGCTAGGGTGTTGTTGTTGGCCACGATGGCATTCTTGTATTTTGGAGTGGATTCTAAATCACCGAAGAATCGGGATTTAGAACCTTAGCCGTGTGTCTCTACTCTCAAGTCCTACCACGGAAGTGGAGGATACTTGATGAGCTTGTTTGATGTGTTTGTAGTTCTCTTGAGACAAGCGCCACGGAAGTGGGTTCTTCTCTAGGGGATTCTTTCCCGATTCTCACGGATGTGAAATCGGGGTGATTTGCTCGCTTCCTTGTTGATTTCTCTCTTTCCTCTAGTTCATTGGCAATTTGCATGATAGACATGAAATTCCTAGCATAGGCTTGCTTTTCATTTTACTTCTTGCATTTCATTTTGGTGTTGTGCATTGCGTTACTTTAGTTCATTCACTTGCATATCATCACTTCTCTTTTTTTTCGGCCTTGATTCACGTTTAACAATTTGATATTAGTGTTTAGTTGCACCTTGCACTCGATTCCTAACCAATAACGCTATCCCCGTGGACTCGACAACCCTTACTTCTACCACTTTACTCACTCATTCCATTTACGTTTTCCACATTTCCATTCCATTTCATCCACACTTTCACATCTTTTTGATCGAGGGTTTTCGGTATCAAACGACGTATCGAAAATTACCTCGCATTATGTTCGCTGATCCTTTACAGTTCCCTTGGGAGCATGTTAAATATATTCTTACTATATTTAATATTGTGAATAATAGGTAGTTACCATACATGTATAGATTAGATTAATTATAGTTTCCTATAATAACTAGGAAACCTTAATCCCTTGTAATCTCACATTATGATTATTGGAAAATATCAATTCTACAGAGCTACCTGAGCAAGAGCATGAGCGACCTCATTCACTGAACGATAAGTAAAAGAGAAAGTAACACCGTTCGAAAATGTTCTTCTCACTTAAACTTTTTTTCAGTAGTCTTAAAGAAATTTCCCATTGCCTTTTTTTAGCTTACTTTTTAATAGAAAAAGTCAATAACACCCTTCCACTTTAAGTTTTAACAAACATCTGCCCAAATTAATTCACCTCCAAATTAAAATAGGGGCATTCTTGAAAATTTGACACTTTTTTTAACTCCTAAATTACATTACTAGAATCCGCCAGCATCACGATAGAAATTGGCAATGGAAATGTTTTGACGCTAGCTCTTGGCGAGGGAATCGGCGATGGAAAGTCTAATTTCACCAAAGATTACGACGGATAGCTAAATTTGTCATCATATTTTCGCGGGAGGTTACTCGCGCCTCGTTGGACGACATATTTAGCGACAAAATATTTCTGTGGTTAAGTTGGCAATGGAATTTTTCTATCGCCATGTGCAACTAATGTAGAACGATGCGTTTTAGTTTAGCGACGGAATTGTTCTGTCGCTATTTCCGCCGCCTATCTTGCTGAAATTAAAATCTTTCTGGCATAAAAATTAAATCTACAACAGAGAAAAATAGACGGCGTGGGAAGAGAGAGAGAGAACAAACACTGTCATAATTAAAACTACTCCCTCCATCCCATAAAACCTTTCTGCTTTTAACTTTTAAAGAAATTAAGTGGATTGTAATTTGGTATTGAATTTTCAAAAATGTCATTGGATGTGATGAGTAGATTAATAATGAAAAAGTGTGATGTGATAAATAGATTAAGAATTAGTAGTTAGGGGTAAAAATGTAACTTTTTAATGGAAATGAGAAAAGTTTTTTGGGATGAATGAAAAAAGAAAGAGAGAAAGTTTTGAGGGGCAGAGAGAGTATTGTTATTATTATATGACATCTCCCTCAAAGTGGGTTTGAGTGAAGCAAGAAAAAACTTGGACACTAGCTAGAAACTGGAAACCATGAAAAGAAAGAAGTCTAGCGTGTTTTGGTAACGACTAATGTTGAAGAAGAAGAGAGAAATCTGATGTACGCTTGTAGCTGGTGATGTCGAAGAAGAAGAAGAGAAGGCTATCGTAGGCGCCTATTTGACTAAATTAAATATCTTTGACATTCTTTGTCTGTTTCTTGGATCCGGGCTATGCCCTATATCTTTCCTCAATTATGGGAATCTCTTATGAGTGTTTTGGAAGGGTGTGTTCTTCTTACGCTTTTAATTTTTTAAATTCCTGCGGTCTTCGATTTTCGTTTCAAAGGCTATTCACCACCCTATAGCTCCGGGACTCTTTTCTAGTAAAAGAAGAATGATGTTATAAATATGTTGATTTATGAAATAAATTTAATATCAATAGATTCATTTTGACATATAATTTTGAAACATTATATTTTTATAACTTATAAATATATAAAAATAAAGATAGTAATGGTCAAAATATTATTTTAGAGACTGTAATAGTTAAATAAGAAGAAAGATATGAGATATAGAGAGTATACTTCATCCTCTATCATTACAAATAAAGTTGACATTTTACATTGTTTTTTACTCTTTAAAATGTGTAGAAAATTAACTAATAAAATTAATTCTTAAACAGGTGGAGTAATTGACAAAGAAAGATTTATTTTTTGGCCCAACAAATAGTAAAATACTTCCTAGAATGGTAGAGCCAACGTGGTCATCAATCGCTATAATCTTGGCGGCCTTTTTCGTCGATTTTTTGTCTCGTTTTCGTTTGGTCCGAGAAAAAGACCAATCGATCAAAGCAATCAGCCCGACAGATTTTTGCGAAGACTGTTTTTTTTTGTTTTTAATTTCCTTTCTTCATCATCATCTTTTCCTTTTTTGAAAATGGAACGTTGAAACAAGGGACTCTGTTTCTTGATCTGAAAACCATCAAAGAAATGTATGGGTGTGCAGGTCACACGCAGAGCAAGAAAGATTTAGCGGTGGAGTACCAATCGCAGGTACAAATTCTGCGGCCGAGCATCCACGCGCGGCGGGCGAATTTGACGGTGAAGTTCCAGGATCTGTACGGATTCACGGTGGAGGGGAATGTGGACGACGTGAATGTGCTGAACGAGGTGGCGGAGAAGGCTAGGAAGAAAAGCAAGGTCTGGTGGGCATTCGAGGCCAGCAAGGGCCCCACCTGGTACCTGGACACCCGTGTCTCCGCCGCCAAGCTCAAGCTCTCCGCCCTCGGAAACGCCATCGCCCTCAAGCGCCTCATCCGCAAGGGTATTCCTCCCGCCCTCCGACCCACCGTCTGGTTCTCCCTCTCCGGCGCCGCCAAGAAGAAGTCCACTGTCCCCGATAGCTACTACGATGACCTCATCGCCGCCGTCCACGGCAAGGTCACCCCTGCAACCAAGCAGATTGACCATGTCCGTTTCTCTTTGCCTCTTTGGTCCTTTAAATCATTTATTCATTTATTTATTTAGAATAATTTATTTCTTTCATTGCAACTGAAAAGTTTGCATTTTGGACAGAATATCATCTAACCTTTAAGCATTAGATTCTCTGAATGGTTCCTTAGGAAGTTCAAAATGATCTGCTTAATTAAAAGTAATTCAATTTGGCATTACTTACCGTTCAGCTTTAGCATTTTAAAATGTTAATCTAAAGCTATAGGTTCTAGCTTTAGCGCGTTCAAATGTTAATCTAAAGCGAACTATAAAAGTTGTTCCGAAACGACCCTTTGCCCCATTTCCTTGAATTGTACATCAACAATATACTCGAAGCTGCATGTTGGCGTTTCCATGTACTATAGAAGAAGTTGGTGAGCCATATCAATCAAAGTTTGTGCATTTATACCAAAACTAAAAGGCTGCATTGACTTAGTTAGATCTCCTACCAATCTTCTTTAACTCAAGATTTCTAGTTTTTTCTTATGGACATTGAAGTTTTGTTTTTTATTATCTGGATTGGTTTTTGCTTGCCTTCCATTAATTAAACCGTTACCACTGATGTGTTCGAACAAGACATATGTAGCTGTGACCTGATGTGTTGATTAATGCTTCATAAGTAACATTTCTTAATGACTTGTTGTTGTTAATATGCAAGTGTATTTTCAGGATCTGCCAAGGACTTTCCCCGGTCACCCATGGTTGGACACTGAAGAGGGTCATGCGGCTCTTAGGCGTGTTCTTGTTGGCTATTCTTTCCGTGATTCTGAAGTTGGGTATTGTCAGGTGGACTCTTTGTGTACCAAATAGATTACACTATATTATTCCGTGATTCTAGATTATAATTTAAACAACGGTGTTTGTATGTGTCTTCTTATTTCTTGGGTATTTGAAGCTTACCTTTCTCAGTTATGCAGTTTCACAGCTTTTGAAGTCAGTCTGGATTTACTTCTGTATATAACCTTAATTGAGACTTTAGAATCCTAGTACTGTGTCATTTTATGTTTTTTTTTGGTATAGAAATAAAATATTTCTTGGAAATGAATGGAGCCTAAGTATCACCATGTTTGCTTGTTTATTTGATGTGGTTCCTTCTCATAGATAGAACCATTTAGATCTCAAGTGGACTGAAATTGTTTTTCTTTGAGACTTTGAGGATAAGAAAACAGTTTCGGTGGGAAATTAAACTGCGGCATTTTTACTTTATTCAACTGCATTTATGTTTTCTGGAATGGTAGGAGGGATTGAACTGACATGAGTATGTCATCTATGGTGAAGGGGCTAAACTACGTTGCAGCTTTGCTGCTGCTAGTGATGAAAACTGAAGAAGAAGCTTTCTGGATGCTTGCAGTCCTTTTAGAGAATGTGTTGGTTAACGATTGTTATACGAATAACTTATCCGGATGCCATGTTGAACAAAGAGTGTTTAAGGATCTGTTTACCAAAAACTGTCCAAGGTGGCCTCTTTTCTAACAAATAGTATATCTTAATCAACCCATCATTTAATCCCACCATGTTAATACTAAGAACAAGAAAATTGCAGGGTAGCGTCTCATTTGCAGGCCTTGGAGTTCGATGTTTCTCTTGTTTCCACAGAATGGTTTCTTTGCCTCTTCTCCAAAAGTTTGCCTTCTGAGGTCAAGCCTTACATGCCTTTTGTCCCACCTTGTTTCGTGAGTTACTATGCCACGCTTCCTAATGACTTAATCTCATTTCAGACAACGTTGCGTGTTTGGGATGTGCTATTCTATGAAGGAGCAAAGGTCCTATTCCACGTGGCACTGGCAATTTTCAAGGTGAATGGTTTTTTCATCACACTAAAGAAGCTTAAAATACGAGAAATTTGAGTTTTTTTCTCTTTCTAAAACACTTCCGTTACAATCATCCTTACTCATTAGTGTTTTTTCCCACACATTTGTGTCTTGAGCAAGAGAAAGGCGTGTAAGTTTTCTAGTGAATGATTGTAGATGAATGAGGAAGAGTTGCTATTGACGCATCATGTTGGCGATGTGATCAACATCATACAAAGAAGCACTCACCACTTGTTTGATCCCGACGATTTAATAACGGTAACGCGTTACCAACATTTTTCTTCCTCCCGTTGTTAGGAGATCCTTTAATATCATTAGGGGAGGGTTTGGAGAAGCATTACATTTGATCTCTAACGTGTTTCATACGCCCTGTTTGCTCCTGACAAATAGGGAGAGAAATATGTATGCTTCAAAGTGCTATATATAATCACCAATATTGTGTGCTTTTCTTGTTCTATGCATTTCTACATGATCAAAGCGAGACATTTTGTGAACATTTTTTTTTTTGCTTCACTCCCACCTAAATCTCACCGTTTGTTGCAGGTTGCTTTTGAAAAGATCGGCTTTATGGCAACAACCAACATATCAAAGCAGAGGAAGAAGCAAGAGTCGGCAGTCATGGCAGATCTTGATCGGAGATTTAGACGGTTGCATCCTTTAAATGGCACAGAGGAATAATACAAAACATCGGCATGCGCACAACACAGGCATTGCATTGTGTTCGGGGGCAACCATGTAAGTGGTGGTGGTGGTCTGGAGCAAGCAACAGAAGATGTCTGCTTTTTTTGGGTCATGCCAGTCACACCATAAATGACACAAAGGTTGACATCGCCAATACTTCACAAATAATGATTTCTCACAGACAATGACCGCTGTTGGTGATTGTCTCTGGTGGTGTCAGAGTGTCATTCCCGAGGTTAAAGTAACATTTTCACGGTGTTTTTGGCAAATATAAAGTTTCCAAGCTGTTCAACTTTTAAAACCAACTGATACTATTGTGAACCACTGCAATCACAGAAGTTGAGAATCTTTTGGTTGCTAACCAAAGAATCACACTTCTTATCATCTTAAGAGAAAAAAAGATTCAGACCCATGTGAAAAGTACACAATCTTGTTATGGGAATTCTTGTTGCAATTCATCTGCTACAATGGCATTTGTTTTGGCTCTTCCTAGTTCCTAGTTGTTTCATTACAGACTTACAAATTACACAATTGATGATGTGCTATAAAAAAAACATACTCATCTTCTATGTTTGCCTATGTTACCAGAACCGGACCGGCTTGGTTGGATGGACTGAGAATCATTTATATGTTTCTCTGAAAAAATGAAGAATAATGAAAATTTACTGAGGTATTTTAAATTTGTAACTGAAAATTAGTTTTAGTAATATATTTATATTTATTTATAAAATTAAAATTATTTATTTACTGAGTTATACAGAGTAAATTCTACATTGTGTTGTAATTTACAATATTCAGATGAAATTTAACACTAATACTAGTTTTGTTGAGTTCGATAATACTCCCCAAACTTTAGTTAACCTTCAGATCATTCTTCGTATTTACTACGAGTACTTTTTTAGTTAATAAATTGAGTGTTTTTAGTTTCTAAATTTAGACAAAAAAAAAGTCAACTAATACTGGGTGCATCAATTGAAAGGGCCAAGGTCGGAGTTTTAGGAGCGGGTTTAGGGGAAGGAACCATATTTGAGTCTAACGGAGCATCGTAAGTGCATCAAATGAGCAGTGTGTAACCATAACTCTGGTGTCAACGAAACCTAACCAAATAAATTTATGAGTATAAATGAATTGAAATTTTGAGTTTTTAAGTTTTATTTATTTTTTGTAATTATTAATTAATCATAATATAAGTTTAAATTGTACTCAGGTTATATCTTTTGAATACTTTTATAAATTTGTCATTTGCTTTTTAAAAATATAATTTACATACGGAGTAATTATTTACAATATACTACTCAATTATTCGATTTAAAAAAAGGGAAGTTCAAATATTCTTCCTGCAAATTACCGTTTCTATTTTTTATACTCTCCTTGTCTAAAATTAGTTTTCTCATTTTGATTTCACAGAAATTAAGAAAATTACTAAAAAGTGTTGGTGAGAAGCAAAAGTGAGTGGTTACAATTTTGTTTAGAAGTGAGAATAAATATTTGAGACCACATATTCTTTTACAAAAAAATAGAAAAAGGTGAAAAAATTATGTTAAAACGGATTAAAAGAAGTTAAAAATTTAACCCCTAGAGTTAGTAATATTTTTTCCCAGGAACAATGAAGCGTTGAAGGTATTTTAGGAATATAAATGAAAAGACAAAAGAAGTGGAGGGTCATTCATAACTCATAAGGTCTCAATCTGGGTAATATAATAGACATGCTTTTACCCATCCAATGTTTTTTAAATAATTGGCTCTAAATGTAGGTATTACAGTATTTGGCAAAAATATTCATCTGTTCTTATATACAATCTCAACTTAAAAAATGTGGCAAGTACATACTAATAAAAGATTTAAAATTCCTTTATTTTCCAGAAAAAAATGTTGTTTCTCATTTTTTAAAAAGGGTTCATGAGCAAGAACTTTGGTACAAAACTTTACAGCATAATTGGAGATATTGAAGGGCAATATATCTCCATGTTAAGCTGCCAATTCCAGAAAATCTAGTTACTACCCTTTTCAGTTGTTAGACTGTTCACCTTCTGCTTCAACCTCAGGCTCAGGCTCAGCCTCGGGTTCAGGTCCGGGCTCGGGCTCCCGGTCACCTTCCTCAACCAATTGTTCATGGCTTGCCACATTAACATCACCAACACTGCTCTCTGCTGGGGATGATGAACCAATCCCATAGTTCCCAGCTTTCCTCTGCAAGCTCCAGTACATGATGCTTGCTGTCAGAGTGAGGATCATCTTCTGGTTCACCTGTGTCAGAATCGATTTTATTTGCGCCATTTAGGGTTCCATTTAGATCCCATAAATTACTAGGGGAAGAAAATAAGAAGGGAAACATAGAGGAAAGAAAATGTGGGTGAAACTAAAACCGTGCTAAAGGCCTTAGACTCAATAAATTCTTTTTTATATCTATTTATTTATACTACTGTGTTATTTACAGACTGATAAATCTAAATATATGTAAAAAGAATTAAACAAATAGTTGTATTTCATTTTTCCTTTGTATTTTCTAAGGTAACCCCAAGCTTGAGAATTTTTTTTCTTTCGATATCATTTTCCTTTATCCAAACTAAATGATAGAAGGCAAAATCAAGGTTTTAGTTTCTAACAGCACGAATAAGAAGCTTTTGCTCCCAAAGAAGATTATGAAGCTCATGGGAAAAGCAGAAAAAATGAACAATCCAATATTCTTCAATATGTGAGTGAGGCTATGGAAGCATATGGCAGTTTGATGACTTACTTCAATCATGTCCTCCGGAAGTAAAAAGATTGAGCAACCTAGCTTCCGAGCAACACTGATTATATAATTGGCATTGGCCTTTTGATCTTCCTCTGCAATTGCAACCAAAAGTTTCATAAGTGCATTGCAAATAATCATTGTCCCAAGAATATTAAAACATGGTGCCACATCCTAAATGGTTAACCATTGAGAAGTAGTCCAATGCTTACTATGCTATTTTACGTGTTTATATTTGTTCTGTGGACTCCTTACCAAAGAAGAACTAGTTTTCAAAAAAAAAACCCTCAATATAAATGTGTAAAGGATTCCCACAATGGCCAAATATAAAACTACAACCTCAGGCCCTAGGCTACTCCTATCAAATTCACATTTCAAGATGGGGTCAGTGTAGGAGAGTTAGATTTTCTTGCCCTGCTGTATTTTCATTTTACAGGGATGAGATCTGTGATGGGGTCAGTGTATGAGACAAAAACCTTAAACCAAATCTCGACATAATCAAATCCTTAATCCTATGTTTGCTTCGTAGAACTCAAAAAGAAAGGAAAAGGAGTTTTCTCTCCTTTTACTCACCAAAATGGAAGGAAAACTATTTTGCGTCTTTTTAGTTTATTTCTTCTTCCATTTTCTTTTCCTTCCACTTTTCTTTTCTTTTCATCCCTAACCAAACAAGAAAATGGTTTTCTTCCTCATTTTCTTTTCTTTCGCCTTTCAAATTCAATGAACCAAACATAGTATAAGTGAGTTAAGCATAAGATTTCTACCTGTTTCCCCTTTGGTAACGAGGCTCCAGTTCACAACCCGTGGTTCCACAGCACTTAAAAGTTCGAGAAAGAAAACTCCATTTGAAAGACTTTTATCCTGAAACCATCACGCAAATACACTACCTTATCAAGATAATGCAATGCAATAATAAATTAAACACAAAGTAAAAGATTGTTTTAAGACCTTAAAGCTCTCCATTTGAGAAGTTCTGCCTGCACTCTTGACTTTGTCGTTTGCCCAATTCAATATGTCAGAATCTGTTATCTCCTTTCCTTGAGAGTGAGACCTCAAGTTTCTCAATAGTTGTAGCATATTAAATCTCATCAGCTGCCATAGATAAGCTGAAAGAGAATGAAATGAAATCCTATTACAAGTATGCAATATAGCTATACTACTCATATTAGAGCAATATTCAACCCATTTTATATCTGGAGATGGAACATATAAAGGAAACATAACATTTTGTTAATCAAAAGGTGCAAGTTTGTTTCATCTATGAACACAAACATACTAACGATTTAAATAGCACATTCATTTTATGTGATTTAGCAATTGTTTCATCATAGATAGAACGAGTAAACAATCACAATTTTATATTTTAGATCTTACTAATGTATGGGGAAAGCATTAGGAGAGAGAGAGAGAGAGAGAGAGAGAGAGAATGTACACTTACCTACAATGAGCTTCTTGTTTCCTTGGACAATGTCATTCCCAGCTACATTCACAAGTGACAACTTTAATTCTTTTCCAATTCGTATAACTTGGTTGCAATTCTCTACCTTAGGAAATGGCAGTTTAATTGGAGGTTTTGTTGCCTGCTTCCAATTGACTGATCCAGGGGCAACTTTTTCAAGTACTTCCAACAGAACCCACCTGCACATACATAAATTACATAAGAACCTAGTTTGCATTTGCATCATTCAAGTAATATTGAGTATTATTTCAACTCAAAAAACTATAGCTTACCCAGTTCGAACATCCTCAAATAAATTATTGACATATGTTTCAACTCCAAGGCTGTTAATCCACAACCGAAAGCATCTCTCTTCTCTAGAAGTTTCAGTATCATCTGTCATCATTTCAGCAAAAGGCAACTTTGTATTGTCAACAGTTAATCCATTCCTGCAACACAAGTCTTATATCAGCTACAGGAAGAATACAAAAGGCACTTCTCTGTAAAACATGATCTACCATCATCTCTCTTAGATAACAGCCAGATGATGTTTCCAGGGCTAAGAGAAAGAAAAATAATATAATAATAATAACCATAAGAATAATAATAATAATACTCCAAAATAATAATAATAATAATAATAATAATAAGGTTTCCACAATATATGTTGCCAATGAATCAGGTTTAAAGCGCTATTTCAAATTTCAAGACTAAGACTCTAAGAGCCAAGAGGTACTCCCTCCATCCGGAATCTGTTGTTCACTTTCTTATTTTTGTGTGTCCGGAATTAATTGTCTACTTTTCATATTCAGTAAACAAATTGCTATGAATAATCTAAAATACCCTCTAGATAGCATATTAGGATTGTTGACTTTGCCTGCATGGGCAGCTCAATTGGTCTCAGATGTGGAATTTGGAACAAAAGACCAAGGCCTCACCAGCGGCAGTGTAGGAGCAACCTCTCAAAAAATGTGAGGGGCTTGTTGTGCGCAGTGAGAACTGGTCCTAATCTCTGTTTCCGGTTGAGTGATCATGATTTACATCCTCTCACAATCCCGTCGGGCAGGGGGTGAGGGGTGCCCGAGGTGAGCGATTTCGCCTTTTGGAACAAGGATTGTTGACTTCAATCAATAAAAAATTCATTTAAAGGACTTGTATGGTATTTTACATTCACTTCTTAAAAATGAAATATTTTGTAATGTGGACAACAAAATCTGGACATTAGGAAGTAATTAGCAAATGTTGAGGAGTGTTGGAACTTGGAACAAGTCAAGTCCTCATCTCAAATCATTTGGAGTTCAGTGAATAAATATTAGTCGTGAAGAAATATCAATACATTTCTTTGGAAGAATTTGGGATCGTATATTAAGCACAGCCTGCACAACAGCTTATTTTAAAAATCTTAATGCTTTAGAGAGCCAATTTGCTTTATTCCGTCATACCCCAAAGCCAAAAAATAGTGAATCCTTGGCTCCACAGGGGAATGGAAAACAATGAGTTACCTAAATTGGCTAATTTAAAAACTATGCAACCATTTACTTTCCTTCCCTAATTTCCGATTTTCAAACCTAATTTTTGTCATCTCTAAATATACCGATAACAATATTCTTAAATTGATTCCCTAATTCCAAAATTACTATAGAATTACTAACACAAAGTTACTGATTCATCACTACAACTTCACCACCAGCAAATGCCAGAAATTATGGTGACCGGTGATGGGCATGGAGGCTGTGTTGTCATCATTGCAATGTTAAGGGAATACATCAATTGCATTATACTGATATTGGCAAATTCTTTGTTGGCATTTAAGTGCGGTGTAGTAAACCGTTGTACATTGCCAATGGAACTAAAAGATTTATTTATTGCTTTTAGCTCTGGATAAAAACATTTACATTCCCCTATGGAGCCAAAGATTCACTATTTTTTGGCGTTGGGGTATGATGGAATAAAGAAAATTGGCTCTTTAAACTGTCTTGCAATGGTGAAGTAGCAGTTAGTCAATGCAACTTTCGACACTCATCATGGGTCATCTGGAAACAGCCGCTCTATGTTTTAAACATAGGAGTCAGACTGCGTACATCGGACCCCCCTTACCCCGCAATGGGCGGGAGCCATTGAGGCACTGGAGTAATGTTGTTGTTGTAGCTCTGGATAAAAACGGACAAAAATAAAATGGCACATTAAACTACCTTTTCTTCTTTCTGTGAAGTTTTGGGAAGTAAATGCAGCAATGCATCAAGGGTCTAATGGAAACTACCTCTCTATTTTTAAGGTTGCATACATCTTGACCTCCAAGATCCAAACGGAGTTGGGATTATACCCTTTGCACTATCATAGTTTATGCAAATTTTGGAATTAAGAAATAAATTTGCAAAATTTGCTTTACCTAAATTATGATCAAGGTGTTTCCTGAAAATATATGAAAGCAGACCGAAAAGTCACAATCACTAACCTATGTTGGAATATTTGTGCAACAAATGCAAGATTTAAATTTGTTGAACCCTCAACGATGTCCTTTGCAGTGACATATTTTATGCAGTCCAACTTCTCTGCTTGCTTGACAATCAAATTTGCTCTTGCAGTGGGATCTTTTGTTTCAAGAGCTGCACTTGTACCAAATTCTGGGGCAAGAGTATTAAGCAAGCGAGCATAAGCCTCTCCATCCTGCAAGTGAAAGAGCAAAGATATGGCTTACAAAAATTATAGTTGTTCGTCCACTGCCAATGGAGCTAAAAGAGTCATTATTGATGATATTTCAGTTTCGGGCACATTATGTACTCAATCAAAATGGTATATTAAACTTCCCTTGGTTCTTACTTTCTATGAGGCTTTGCCAAGTAAATGCCTAGGGTGATGCATCTAGGGTCTAACCAAAACAGCCCTATCTGTTTTACAGGGGTAACTGGGTAAGAGTGTAAGGCTACTTGCATCTTGACCCCCAGAGTGGGATTATACTAGGTGGTGTTGTTCTAGATAATAATTTGAACATGTGAGCATGAGATCAATGAATATTATAAATAAGATCAGCTCATATATTATTCATAATTGTCTTAGAGATGCGAGAGGTTTGTGGTCATGATGTATGGGTGAATATGTCCTTTAAAATGTTAGCTTTGGAATTAGCATGCTTTCCTCACCTTCAGATCAGAAGAAAAATTTGTAACCTGCTTCTTATAGCCTGCCTTTTGCAGATGAAAATTCATCCACTTTAACAACACCTTTTCTGGAGGCAAGGACATGAGTTCCTCCACATCCTACAAAATTATTACAGTGCTTCACATCACACTAGAATATAAGCAGAATACTACTCCGTGTATTATGAACTATATATAGCATAACGCACACAAAACACCAATGGATATCTGGCTACCTTACTGTCTTCCACCAGTTCTACAAGTTGGGGAGTTTTCTTTAGGTTCAGATCAGCTAATAATTGAATCTGATTCACAAACAATAATAAATGGAGAAAATTAAACATTTTGACAAATTCCTTCACTTCACTAGCTTAATGAAAAAAAATTTGTTGTCGAAAAATACCTTGATAATTTGAGAGATCAATCCAAGTATGAGATGTGGCTAATTACATCAACAATAAATGGAAGCAGAGTTAGCATTGTTGGTGTACATATTATGACACTAGTATATAACAGACTTTAAGATATTACAAGCTTGGATTTGACATACTCTTCCTTCAGCAAGGTCTTGTGTGCCTATGTTAACCACGGTGCAACCAATAGCCTTTGCAGAGTTTAGACAGAGTGTATGATTTTCATTTCTTTCCCAAGGATTGAGAACTTTCTTGGTATTAATAGCTCGCTCATCTATTGTGCCAGGGACAGCAATATTAATGAGTTTGCTGCATGAAACCAAATCAGTGAATAGATCAATGTGTGCATATTAAAAGGTGCTCAAGGATGATGGGGTGCTGATAAATAGAGAAAGAGGGTATTCATCCTAACCACAGAAGAACACCATCCTTTGCTAGATCAAACAGCGCATTTGTAGATGGATTCAAGGGAAGATAGTTCTTCAAGAAACTATCTTCTTGAAGAAATTTGTTTATGTGCGCAACATAAGATGCTTTTTCTGATTCACTAATGGAGTGGCGAAGTGTTGTTGTAGAAGACTTGAGAAAGGAGGATGTGGTTTTAAATTTTGAGTTATTACTTGGTTTCTTAGTGACCCTTGCTTGCAGACTGAGAAATGCCTGAGCGAAAACAATCCAGGTTACGGTAAGGCTGCAAGCAGTATAATCACATACGAGTACCATGATGAACTGCAAGATTTGTACTATTAACTATGTATAATTTGTGCGGCACCGCCTCAAACTCACCCGAAGGAATGATTCAAAATCAATTTCTTCATTCAAGTTAGGAAATGGTTCTGTCAGGATGGCCTTAATTTGTTCTTCACTGAACATCCCACTGAAGGCCTTCAATTTGGACATAAACGCAGGCAAATCGCTCACTATGAGCTTCCTGTTTTGATCCCTTGCAGAAACAAACTGTGCACCAATGTCAAGACTTAAATAACCAGCAGATCAACACAACATCATTTAATCCAAATAATAAAGCACAACTGCACTATCAGGAAAGGACAAAATTCAAGGTGATCAGCAACAAAACAGAAAGTACGAGTGCAGGTGACGTACGGTGGATTTAAGGCCACGCAGCTCCACTTGAGTGAATTGGCTCTGTAGCCACGGATCCGAAACGATCACACCTTGAAATCCAGACATTTTTCGTCTCTTCTCTCCTTTTATAACGTGAAAATCAGCGAAAAAATTCCAACATTAACCACCTGCAATGGAGAAAAAGAGATATACATTGATGAAACAAAACAACAAACACAATGCGCGCATGCATATTAAGAAAACCCATTGCGAAATTTATAAGAATCTATCATAATCCGTATTAGATTGGGTACCAGAAACCAATAGTTGGATGAAACAAAAACACATTAGCCTGGTTTATCACATTACAGAGATGATTTCTCAGAAATCGGAAACCAGAACATGCTTGAGCAACGCAGGTATACCTTTTCGAGTCAGTCACATTGCAATGGGGGCGACGATGAAGAATGGCGTTCAAAGAAGTATCTGTTCTTCATTTGCTTTGGGCTCGGAGGGATGAAAATGTGAGAGAAGAGAGGAGAAAAAACAGTTGGACCTATCAGACCCGCCGAATTCTGCTACACCAACTTTTTTTTAAAACGATTTTTATTTACTTTTTTTATAGCGCAAAGAGCCATGTATTGAAAGGGCGAGCAAACTACAGGCCAGTTTGGGAATAGCGTTAGAGATTAGCGTTAGCGTTTTGGATAAAATTTTAACGGTGCAGATCGCTTTGAAAACGCTAACGCTAAACGCTGCCCGTAGATAGCTTTTTCGAAACGTTAACACTAATCGCTAACGTTGTTCCCAAACAGGCACTACATTATTATACTCCAATTAATTTATCTAAATACTACTAAAACATAATGACTTTTTTAATAGAGTATTATATGTTTTTATTTTTCAATCTAGGATTATTGGTCATTATCTATTAGTCATTATTCAACTAAGGGTCTGTTCTTTAGGACTGGAAAAAAAGAGCTGAATGTTGGAAGGAACTGAAAGAACTGGAAGAAATTTGAAAAACTGAAAAAAAATTAAAAGAAACTAAAAAAAACTTGAAAAAATTGAAAAATCTTAAAAAACTTTAAAAAAATATTTATGTGTGGTTTATATTATTCTCATTCTGATTCTTATTGTTACAAATTATTATTATTAATATTATTATTATTATTATTCTTGTTGTTGGTGGTGGTGGTGGTAGTGGTAGTGGTGGTATTATCACGTTATCTTAATGATTCTCTTTAAGATAAAAAAAATATTACGAGTATTATTTTTCATATATAAAAAACTAGTTTAAAAAAATAATTAGAATATAAAATTAGCATAAATATTACACTTCTTGGGTCATTTTTTCTTTTTCAAAATGTGGTTTTAATTTCTCTTGGTTTTCATAATATTATTCTTCCAGACCCTTAAATTTAATTTACCTTATATAATTTAGATTAAATAGTTTCCTAATTTTTCATGTAGATTAATATACAAAAAAAGATATTATTCATATTAAAAAGTTGAAGAAACTGGAAGAATGAATGTGAATCATAAAAATAGTAAGATGAAAAAATGAAATAATTTATAAACTATAGTTATGAACATAAAAGTCGTAATTAAAAAAAGTTGTACTAATAATAATAATATTTATTTAGAGTGATTTGTCAGAAAGTATAAAGAATTGGAAAAAAAATAAATGTAGTTGGAAGAAATTAGAAGAAAACTAGAAAAAACTGGAAGAAACTAGAAGGAACTGGAAAAAACTAGAAGGAACTGGAAAAAATTGGAAGAACTGGAAGAAACTGGAAATTAAGAGTTCAAGCTCTAAAGAACAGGCCCTAAATATCCAGCATCACTTAGGGCTTGTTCTTTAGGACTGGAAAAAAAGAGCTGGATGTTGAAAGAAACTGGAAAGAACTGGAAGAAACTAGAAGGAACAGGAAGAAATTAGAAGAAACTAGAAGAAACTCGAAGAAATTAGAAAAACTGAAAAAAATTAAAAGAAACTGAAAAAACTAAAAAAATTGAAAAAAATATTTGAAAACTTTAAAAAAAATTATATGTGATTTTATATTATTCCCATTCTGATTCTTGTTGTTATAAATTATTGTTGTTGTTGTTGGTGGTGGTGGTGGTTGTGTTATCACGTTATCTTAATGATTGTCTTTAAAATAAAAAAAATATTACAAGTATTATTTTTATATATATAAAAAGCTAGTTTAAAAAAATAATTAGAATATAAAATTAACATAAATATTACACTTATTGGGTCATTTTTTTTTCAAAATGTAGTTTTATCTTTGTTTTCATAATATTATTTTCGAGGCCCTTAAATGTAATTTACCTTATATAAATTTAGATTAAAAAATATTCTATATAACTATTTATCCATAATTTTTTAAATAGTTTCCTAATTTTTCATGTAGATTAATATACAAAAAACGATATTATTCATATTAAAATGTTGAAGAAACTGGAAGAATTAATGTGAATCATAAAAATAGTGAGAAGGAAAAAAAATGAAATAATTTATAAACTATAGTTGTAAAAAAAGTTGTAATAATAATAATAATATTTTTTAGAGTGATTTGTCAGAAAGTAGAAATAATTTGAAGAAAATAAATATAGTTGGAAGAAATTAGAAGAAACTGGAAAAAACTAGAAGAAACTGGAAAAAACTGGAAAAAACTGGAAGAACTGAATGAAATTGGAAGAAACTGGAAAGAACTGGAAGAAACGGGAAGAAAGTGGAAGTTAAGAGTTCAAGCTCTAAAGAACAGGCTCTTAGACATTATTCTTCTCACTAGTCATTATTAAGTCATATTTTAGGAATAAAAAAGTTTAAGTCTTACATTTGGAAATGACTTATGTTTTAGTCCTATTTAGAGCAAATTTCACTTATACGATACCAAACTAATTTTGAAATTTTCCAAAAAAAATTGAGAATACCAAATCGAAAAAAACTAAACTGACAAAATATTGAAAAAAAGTTATCTTTTATTAAACTTAATAATCAGTCTGGTATTTGAGATCGATACGAGATAACTTCTCACACCGAAAAATCTTAAACCGAATATGTATACAAATATATTACTCCCTCCGTCTGAAAATGTTCTTCACATTTGACTTTTTACGGTTTTCAAGATTACACTTTGACCACTAACATCTTTATTTATACATGGGCATATTTTATAAAAATTTGATATTTGAAAACTATATTTCAAAATGAATATATTTATATTAAAGTTATATCTTAATACAATGTATTTTTTTCACATATCATAGTCAAAGTTTACAAACTTTGACTAAGAAAAGTCAAATGAGAAAAATATTTCTGGACGGAGGGAGCATAAAAATAATAGTTTTTATAAATTTCATCATTAAATAGTAAATTAATTTCAAAAAATTGGTTCAAGTGTAGATAAATTACAAATAATATTTTATTCAAATAGTCATTTATTTGAATTTTAACTTTTTGTAGATGAATATAAAAAATTAAGAAACATTTGAAATACTATTTTGTTATCATTTGTTTTCTTTTGTTTGTGAAATATTACGTATAAAATAAACTAAATTTCATTGGAATTTCTTCCATTCAATTACTCTGTTTTTAAATTTTTATCTTTTTTATTTGAATGTACTTTTGATTTTTTAAACAATAAAGTTTTGTAGATTTCAAAGTATAAACTATGTACGTATATATATATCCATCTGAATATTTACCGAAACTCATCCCGAACCATACTGAACCGATAGGTACAATTTAAAATTTCATACTTAACTGAAATATTTTGTACGTTATCATAGGAACCAAATACCTTAGCATGCTCGCCCCTATTATAATATCTAATGACGTACAAAGGGTGAATGTCTTCGCTCAAGTTTGTACTTGAGTAAACATTTTCATGAATCCTGGAGAATAACTTGCTATCACTCAAATTCCAATTTTATATCATGTGCACAATAAGCCAAGCTATAGTCATATCTTTATCCTATTTGTAATCTTACGTTCAAATTTTTATAATTTTGATAATAAATTTAAAAAAAAATAATTTTGATTTAAATTTAATATAAATAGATTTATTTTGAAACGTATTTTTAATATATTATATTTTTATACGGGTTAATGTATGTATATATGCAAATAAATATATTAATGGTTAAGATATTCCATTGGAGATTATAAAAAGTTAAAGTGAAAGAGAGGTATGAGATAGGTGTGGAGTCATGGAGTATATTGGAGTGTTCCTCTATAGTGATGTTTATTAACTTATTGCTCATAAGTAATTTTTTACGCTTAAAAGTCATATATATATATTTTCATGGAAACATAACAACTTAAATGATATATAAGTCATTTGTAAATATTCATAAATGATGAGAAATAAATTTATAATTAATATGATCAAAATGGAGAAACGAAAAATTTAACTTAAAAATAAGTAGCTAAGACTTACTTATTTTTTCTAACTTATAAACAGCTAATAAGTTAGCTTATAAGCATATAAAAACATGTTATCAGCTGACTTATAAGTTAAAAATTGTTTATGAGTAATTTTGACCAATTTATAAGCACAAAGAAACATCATTATGTCTCTTCGTAAATAGTTTCATCCTTTAACTTCAATATTTTGAAATGTTTATTTAACGACAATGTTTAAGCTAGGCAAATTCTTACGTAGTTATAAAAATTAATGCTTATTTTATGGGCTTTAGTACACTGATATCATAAAAAATTAGGTCTTTTTACAAAAATATATAAACTCCAATTGTCAGCCCGTAAAAAACGTAAAAAAGTACACATTTCGTACGTAAACCTTATGATCAGGAAAGAACAACTTCAAGAATAAATATTGGAAGTAAATAAATAAAAGAAATGCTCAATAAAAGGGAAAAAATAAAAGAAAAATAATTATTTGTGGTTGGTGCTAGCTAAGTGACAAAGAAAGGCCAACTCACTTGTAGCCTGTATTTCTTTTCGGTCATATTTCATTGAGTCCTAGAATCAATTTCATGTTTTCTATTTATTATGTTCAATTTAATTTATTTTCAATTCAATTATTGAAAAATTATTGGTGAATTTAAATTTAAAAATTACTTCTTCCGTTTCAATTTATAGTGTTTGTTTACAAGGTCAAACTTTATTCACTTTCTTTCTTTATTTTCGTTGGCAATTTGATAAAATAAAGTATTATTGTCACTATTAGTTTTATAGATTCTTTATGTAATATTTTAATATGTAATTTTTATTTTTTTAAGTCTATACTATTTATCATATAAAATGATTTGAAAATATTTCCAATCAAACATCGTAATAGAAATAGACACTATAAATTGGAACGGAAAGAGTATATTAATAGATGAAGTAGTATTGTTATATTATTTTATAAAAAATAAATCTATAGAGTCTTTGACCCAAATAAAGTAGAATTGATTTAGGGAGGGGTGGAATATGTCTCTTTTTCATTTGTTTTGGTTATTTGGGTTGATTTCTTCTTTAAATGCTTCTACTACTTTCTCCAGCTCATGCATGACTTGACTCCCACTTCCAAGTCTCTCTCTCTCTCCGCTCTCCCCAGGTTAAGGTTAGCTTAATTCCCCTCTGTAATTACATATCATCATCATCATCATCAGCTTCTCTCATTAGTAATTGCCAAGTGTCTGGTTCCATTTATTCGTACAGATTTTGTACCTCTAGATCTGCTTCTTCTTTTCCGAATCCAGTGTTTTTATCATCTGTTTCTGCATTTTGCCTGTAAGTACAGATTTTTGTTTTTCAAAAAATGTGTGAAATTCTAGTTCAGATCGAGAGCTTCCTTTCCCATTGTTTTACTTGCTTGATGATTAGTAGATATGTGTGTGGAATTTGAATCTAATTGATGACATCTATTGCGTCGGTGGGCTAGCTAGTGATTTCGAGTTTAATTAAGAAAATCCAGTACTTTTCTTCACTGTAAATCTCAGTAATTGCTCTATTATTTTATTTTAAAATAATTATACTTTTTTTCTCTCATTAACATGCAACTGAAGTAAACTAGGAATTTTTTTGGGGTGAAGAGTAAACTACAAATTTTTGAGTGTGTTTTGATCTCATAAAGTGTTAATTTTAATTTATCCATCCCTCAGAAGCTTTTATTTTCGTATGTCATTAATTAGTTGTACACTTACCTTATTTGGTAAACTAAGTATAACAGAGAAATTACCAAACGAGCTCATTATAATTAAAGCCTTAGAGTCTGTTTGGTGAACGTATGAGATATGAGTTTTGAAAATCTTCTAATAGTTTTGTGGGTGTTGGGTGAAGCCTAAACAAGGTCTGCGTTTGATATCTCTTAGACATATCAATACGAGTGTTTTGATATCTCCATCAAGCGCCAGCGACACCCATTGTCGCCGCCTGTCACTAACTACCATATCAGGTTTAGATCAATCTATCCAAACGGGCCCTTATTTTTTCCATTTCACCACTTGAAATTTCAGCCGGGACGAGTGAGCAACAAAATTGGGATGGTGGGAGAATGTCACGTATTCGAGTTTGTGTTTCTTTTTACTCATTTCGTCTTCCTAAAGAATGCTCATTTGCAAGTGTTGGACGTGCAATTGTGGTAGGATTTAGTAGGAATATAATAGATATAGTGTGGTTTCTCTATTCCTAAATTAAAGATTGGGTTCTAGTTTGAATGTCGATCAAATGCTCCATACAACAACAACAGCAACAATAAAAACCAAGTAAAATCCCGGCCCCCAAGAGAAGGGGCCGTATGTAGACCTTACCTCTACTTGTTGGAATTAGAGATTTTGTTTCCAAGAGACCTCCGGCTCCGTAAGTGTTGAATTGTAGACGTTGGTGAAAGCCTATGTAAATTGACTTGAACCCTTAACATTGATGGAAATTAGTGTTGTAGTGATAGTATTCTTAGTTTAATTTCTTTTTGTCCTTAAAAAGAAATAAACGTGTGTGAATTTACCACCACATTCCTGTTAAATTGTTGTGTACATTTTTCTCTGATGGTAAATTTGCTCCCCTTATTTAACTCAGTTCCATATACAAATTATCTCTCTATTTATCATCTATACTTGAGAAGTGAAAAAGAAGGCCATTCTATTTTATTTTATTTCTTGTTTGGGGGAGATTTTAATCAGGACCTTGGAAATGCAGGGACATTAGTCTTAAGTGTTCATCCCATCAGAGCACACAGGGAGATAAAAAGAGACAGAAACACACAGAATTGGAAGCTCGTTGTACAGAAGGATGATGGATTACACTGTTGTAGTGTGTGCAATTGCTAGTTTGCTCATCTTCTCATCACCAATAAATGCCAGAAAAAGCATTTCTCAATCTCCAGCGCCCGCACCGGGCCCGGCCTTTGTGAACCTGACAGCTTTGCTGACTGTTGCGGGCCCGTTCTCCACGTTCCTTAACTATTCCCGGTCCACTAAAGTCATAGAAACATTCCAAAACCAAGCCAACAATACTGAAGAAGGAATCACTCTCTTTGTCCCCAGAGACCAAGCCTTCTCCTCAAGGCACATGAGCATTTCCCTCTCGAACCTCACCGCCGACCAGCTCAAATCTCTCTTCCTCTTCCATGGAGTGTCCCATTACTACACTCTCGCCGACTTCAACAGCCTCACCAAAGTCAATACCTTTGCTGGGGATGCTCTGAACGTGACTGATATATCTGGGACAGTGATCCTCGACTCTGGAAGGACGAATACGACAATCATCAGTGCTGTGCTGTCTACTTATCCTGTTGCCATTTATGAGGTGGACAAAGTTCTTCGTCCTGTATCAATCTTTGGGACGAGTATACCCCCCACCGAGGCACCTGCGCCTTCTCCAGTTGCTGCTTCTCCTTCTTCAATTCCCGGTGCTGCAGATGCTCCGGGTTCTGAGAAAGGTGACAGTAGTGACTCGACCTCTTCTCCGAATTCAACTCCTTCCTCTTCTCATAAGGTTACGATTAGCTTCGGCCCTCTCAGTCTGGGGGTCTTGGCAATGGCTGCTGCATCTGCATTTTTCTCCTAAACTTTTCTATACATATATTGGTTCATTTGCACCCCATTATTATTTTTTTCTGCCACATACAACGTTCTTCCCTGGTGTAGAATTGATTTGTGCTATTAAGGTTTGTGTGAGAATGTATTTTTATGTGCTTTATTGCTATTAATCCGGCGGTATGTACCATTGGGCATTGGGAAGGCTTAATCCCAAGTAATTACTCCTATATTTTTATAAATTGAAAATGTATTTTTCTATAATTTGTCTAGTTCTATACATTAATAACTAGCAATATTTATGATGGACTATTTTGTTACATTTGTAATATGGTCTATGTTGTACTAGGCATTCACAAATCAAAACTATCACACCCTCTCTCTTGTTGAACCTTGTTGAGAAACAAAGATTACAAGGTCTAGGGAGAGAATGTGTCTACGCAGACTTTGTTTTTACACGAAAGTAGAGAAACTGTTTCAAAGAAACTTAAAATTTATATTGTCAAAACTTGTTTAGAAAAACGGGAAATAGAAATTAAGAAAGTTTAAATTTATATGGTCAAAACTTGTTTAGAAGAATGAGAAACATGTGACTCACATTTTTTAAATGGAAAATAGAAAGGCAATTTGAGATTGCCAGAAAAATACTCCCTCCCTCTTATAATGTTCTTCTAGGTTCATTTTACGAGGTTTAACCGACTTTATTTTTCAATTCAATTTATTTGATTGTAGGTGTAAAGTTAAAAAATAAAATTTATATATTTAAAAACTACATCAAAAGTTCTACAAAACAAGTGGTGACAAAACTATATTATTTTATCAAATACCTAATGAAAATAAGTAAAGAAAGTGATTAAAGTTTGACCGGGTAAAAAGTGAGTGTGAAGAACATTTTAGAACGGATGGAGTACTAAAGATTGAAAAACCTCAACATGGTCGAGGTGTTGAAAAAAAATGGGACAACGTAATTTTCCCACTAAAACAAAAAAATATGGCGCAGTTACTAATTGATTAAACATAGTAATATGCTCATTCATAGTAGTACTTGGTCGTAATCGAATTGAAAAAACTTTTTCTTCACGAGTTTGTTCTGACCACTCACTTTTAAAAACTTGCCGTCCAATGCCTTCAACAATTTGTGCACAAAAGTCTCATTTGTTTAAACATACTTTAACTCTATTAACACGAAAGAACATATAATTCTGCACACTAACTAGTTTATGATACTTTTCTTCTAATGTTTTTTGCTTTGCTAGTATTTCTGATTCCACGAATGATTGTGTCACGATATCACTCATAAAAGCGCGCATGGGCAGCTCAGTTCAAGAACGTGAAATCTTGGACCGATGACCAGTGATCGAGTCCCGCAAGCGGCAATGTGGGAACTATCTAAAAATCCCATAAAGGGTGAGGAGGCTCTTTGTGCGCGGTGGGCACGGGGTCTAGCGTTCTTGGCCGATTGAGTCACCATGATTTACCTCCTCACTCGTAATAACAATTGCCTATGTTTGCCGATCTGGCGTATAACCAAAAATGGTACTTCGTAATACTTACCTTATCTCACCAAGATTTACCGACCAATTTTTGGTTCTTTGTGCAAGGTAAATTACTTGGGTTTTTCTCCGGTACCCATGAAAATCAATGGGCATGCATGCTTCTCCACTCAAAATTTAACATGTGGACTAATATCAATTTTGCTTTTTGTAGTTCAACCGTCACTCTAATTTTCTAAAATGATAAATTGGCCTATATTCTCTCCCTTCCATTAATACGAAGTGCAAAGTGTTCCACTTTTCTTACTCCTAATCTTTTTTTAATCGCTCGACTCCACTAATACAAAGTTAATTCGTGTTAATTCAGCACTAATTCTTTTACTCAATTAACATACTCCATCCATTTTGAATCAGATTACAATCTTTTTTCACTTCTCTCGATAATTTTTGTTTATTTATATATTTTCCTTGAGTATTTGATAAAATAAAATACTTTTGTCATCACTCATTTTGTAGAAATTCTGACTTAGTTTTTAATATGTAATTTTTATTTCTTATTGATATATACCAATTTCTAAATAAAATAATTTCAAAAAGTGAGAGATTTTGCATCATAACTCACAATTAGTAATCAAATTGGAGACGAAGGGAGTATATAGTACTCCATTGGCACTAGCTGTAATTATCATGCAATTATTATTTTTATATTTATCTATTTTTAATTATTAAATTCCATCCTTTAAAATTAAAATTAATAAAGTAATTTATTTTTTAATTTTTTTATTTTGTAATTTTTTACTTAAATTTCTTCGGAATAACGTTTTTTTCATTTTTGTTTTCGTTTTTTTCTTTTTTGTCCAAACCATTTTTTTGGTTTTTAATTTTTTTCTTTTACCTTTTTTATATTATAACAAAAAGGGTAAATTTTTTAATTATTCCTTTATAGGAGAAGGTTTTTCCATATTTATTCTTCTATTATCAAATATTATCTATGTCGTCTTTTTTGGATTCCTTACACGGATAGTCTTTTTTATCAAGTTGTGTTAAATTAAAGGGTAAAAGTATAATTTCACAATGATGATATATCTTTCTTATCATAGTCAATGCCAGAAGTCGCTCATGATGCGTTGTTTGCTAACTAAAATCGTTGTTTACTATAACTACAATCTACAAATATCATCTTTAGTCGGAATCCTAGTCCATAATTAGTCATTATTGTTGTACATATTGTCCGTCAAGTCAACATCAGAATATGTCACTACACATAGGGTCAAAAAGAACTATTAATGAAAAGGTACATATTGATGGGTGTATTCCACCCACGGCCGGTCAAAGGAGAAGACCAATTAGTTGACCGGTCGATCTCGAGAGTTTTGGAAGGGAGGTTTAAATCATCAGCAAATTGATATGTGATCGGCCCAAAGATGACCGGTATACTTCACGAACAAGTATACCGGTCAAACTACTTTGTCACCCTATTTATTCCCTAACTTCGATGAATTCATCCCTCGGAGATTACCCGGTGTAGTTTCTAGGGTTGGAAAGTGTCGGCAGAAGAGAATCTAAAAGGGCTTGGCGTGTAGCGACCCATGTCAGTGGAAGATAGCTGGAGATGCTGAAGGAATGTTTCCAAGCCAGAACGCGACAAGGGAAGTAATTCCCCTCACAAGACGACAGGGCAGCTCGAGGACGAAACCAGTCACCTCGCACCACATCAGCAGCGTGCCCCCACGTGGGCGCACGTGATCCTGTCCCCCCGAGCTTAGTATAAATAAGGCTGTAACTCTCAGAAATAGGGATCCGAATTCATTCTCTCTAAACTCCCTTGTAAAAGCACCCGTGCATTCTCCGTTATAATATAAATTGGGCTACATGTGTTCCACCTAAAGTCCTACCGGTCAATCTGCGTGTTTTTACCTTTCTTACTTTACCAAATCAAGCAAACTATTCTAGACCCGGTCTAGTATAATTTGACCGGTCGAGTAATTTACACCATCACATATAAAATAAGAACCACAATAATATTTGATAAGAGGAAACTAAATATGAAAACCTTCTAGTTATAAAAGATCAGTTATAGAAATACTCTAACAAAAAACAAAACATAAACTTGTTAAATTTAAAATTAAAGGAAAACAATGAAATAGTATTATTTGAAATTAAAATGTGTTTCTTCCAAAATATAATTCTCGTAGTAATACAACACAATTCATTCAATTCAGAATAGTGTGGGCACAAATTAAAACATAACGTCAAAAATATATATACAATATTAGTGGAGTTATAAGTTTTATTTTCTAATTCCACACTATTTTTCATATAAAATCTATTAAAAATAATTTCAATCAAATATTCTAATGCACCCCGAAGAGAAAAATTATGGACAAAAGTAATACTACATCCGTCCCAGAATATTATATTTGTCCAGTTTTGATTTTTTAGTCAACTATTTTTAACATTTGATCTATAATTAAATAAAATATATATTGTATATTAATTACATAAAATAATATGTTAAAAATCTTTATATAATAAATTTAATAACACTATTTGTATCAATATCTAATATTATTTTTATTTAATTTGAAATCAAAATTTACAAATTTTGATAAAAAAAAAGTCAAAAATAAACAAATACTAATACTTAGTAATTGATGAAAGAACAATTCAATAAATTTAGAACAATGCTAGGGGTACTCCAAAAGATATACCTCAAATGTACACCACCCCCTTCTCCACCACACATTTTTATTTGATTTTCATTTACTTATTTTTTTAAAATTTTTTTACTTTTTTTAGTGGACAAGAAGAGAGTGGGGCACATATGGGGTACCCTGGCATTTTTCATAAATTTATGAGTCAAAAAGAAGCACTTCGTAAAAAGGAGGGCAGAGGGGATATGGGCGAATTTCTAGTTTTAGAAATTTTAGAAAGTTAGTGACACGCAAGATTTGTTATCCACTGCAATTAAATAATACTAGACTCGTACCCGTGCGATGCACGGGCGGAAAAATTAATTTTATTTACTCATGAAATGAAAAGGAAATGATACAAAAATTAAAAGATAACAAAATATATTTAAAATACCCAAAATAAGGTAAAGTACATGAACGGCCGATGTCGATATACAGTGTTATAAGTTTTGGAACACTTCTTTATAAACTACATTTGTAGTTATGTTCGTTGACGGAAGGTCTTTATTGCAAATTAAGATCTTCAATCCCTCGCGACTTGTAACACGTGAAATTGCAACATAGAGTTGACCGTGGCTGAATACTGGTTTCTTCAGTAACAATCCAACATGGGACAAAGATTGGCCTTGACTTTTGTTAATTGTCATAGCATATGAAGTCATGATAGGGAATTGTTTCCTTTGAAATCTAAAAGGAATTCTTGTATCTGACGGTGTGAGAGATAACCGTGGAATAACTACTTCTTGGCCGACATTTTTTCCTGTCATCACCGTGGCCTGAATAAGGTGATTGCCAAGTCGTGTTACTATTAACCTTGTTCCATTGCAAAGACCGGATGATTGATCAATATTTCTTAACAACATAATCGGTGTTCCAATCTTCAACTTCAGTTCATGATTCGGGACACCAGAAGCTCGTATGTTGTTCAAGAATTCCGGAGAATGTAAATCTGACAAAAAATCTGCATTTGAATCAGATTTACACACTGTATCAGAGCTAAAGTAGCTTTTCGCTTCTCCAACGTTGTTCAATGATGTCATGTAGTCATTGATTTCATCCACAACGTCTAGAGTTGGTGCAAGAATGGCTCGATTTTGCAAATATGTTGGATCACTTGCAATATTGTGGAAGTCTGGATACGTTGAATGATTTCGACAATCATGCATGCATGCAAGATAGTACAAAGCTTAATATAAATAATTTTATTTTTTAAAATGTAACCTTAGTTGTATCAATCAGAGTCTTCGAAGGGGTAATTTTTAGAGGCTCATTCACTTCTTCATTTCCACCACCCATCATCAAAGTAGTCAAGCTACTCACATCATCAACTTGTAGAGGTAGGCTACAAAAAAATTGTCTTTATTTAAAATTATAATATACAAAGAGAAGTCATAAATAATATAGAGGACAGTTTCGTATGGTACCTAGCTCGGAATTGATTAACTTCATCAGAGTTTCCATCCAAAATCATCTTCGTGACATGAAAAGATGTTGAAACAGTTACTGTGCCTGTCAAATAATTAAAATTAGTCCGTAATATACTAATAAACATAATTAACATTGAAACTGATATTGATGAATATTGAGGAAAAGATTAATTACCCTGGTATCGCCTAGGCTTACAGAAGCTAAGAAGTAAGATAAAAGGTCCCGGAACACCTTGGGTCACACAATTCAAGAATTTCTCCACATACTCGCCCCATAGTGTGCAAGCCAAACGGTTGCCTCTGCATTTATTCGTTTACTTAATATCTTGTTAATAAATTGCTCTTATATATTGTTTATAAATATGTGCTCATACTCATGATCCTCAAGTGTTATTTCCATTAGCTTCTCTTCTCCACCCCGTTTAAAGTATGTTTGAACTTTTGATCGCCCAACAATTTTTCCTATGACATCTGCACAGTCCGAAAGATGTATTAAAAATTTTTATTTGACAGCATACTTGATCAAGGTAAAATGCACAAATGTTTATTCTGAATGCCGCACGTGTGAAAAATATATATTTTCATTTGAAAGAACAAATTCAAAAATTTATTTTGAATGAAAACAGATATTTTGGAAGAAAATTAATTAGTTTTGTGTACCGATGAGAAGCTGGTCGTTCAAACACGGTTGAGATTGAAGGTCCGAAAATGATTTCAAATCGAATTTGAAATTGGGAAAATCTTTTCCACTCAAAGTCTTGACTTGTGTTTTTGGATAAAAAACCAACAAATATTTATGTGAAGTTGTTTTGCATGATTGGTAATTATCATTAACAAAAACATTTCGGATTCCAAAAATGCCATCTTCAACGATTTGGCTTTCAAAACGCTTCTTTTCGGGACTCTTAAGTTGAGCATGAATCCTTGTTCCCTGCATAAAAAGGAGAAAATATTTAGAAAATAAGTTTAATAGAACGAAAAATAAGTGTAAGAAAATATGCTAAGAAATTACGCATTCATCGTGGAAGATGACTTCTAAGGATTCTCCGCCCTTAGACCAAGCCGGAACATGGTAAACGCGGAATGCTCGCAACTTAAGTACCCATCCTGTTTTTTCGTTATCAATTCTATCAAGCATGGACATAATGTTTATTCTTGTTGGTAAGGAAGTTTTGTGGGTGATGGAGAATTTGGTCCCTCAACTTCGCTTAAATAATGTTGGATAGGTGTGAGAATCCAAAGCATTAAATGCCCATGTACCATAAGATTTTTCAAATTCAAAGCATTAAATGCATTAGAAAATTGGGCTCCTAAAAAGCAAACAAAGTATGCTCACACGGCCCAATACTTATTTAATAATAAAATATGCCATTGCAGCGGTAAAAAGGTTGCTCACACTTAACAATTTTTTTTAAATAATTACCTATGCCGCCACCCGATAAAAACAGCAGTCCTATGCCGCCACCCTATAAAAACAGCAGTCCTATTTACAAAGCTCGGCGCCCAAAATTTGCTGTGAAATATCCGTACCAGGCCCATTTCAGAACCCAGCCCAATTATCCCATACCCGGCCCATGTAATTTAGGCGGGAACACTGTAGAAAATGGCCTCCTACCATTGTATATATGAAGATTCCCTCCATTCCATAAAATTCTTTCCCTTTCATTTTTTTTAATTTCTTAAAACACTTCCACTTTATACTAAAAACACTGAGTTTTGAACAAAGGTTTTGATGACCGAACCCGAAATGACCCGCTAAAAATGGGTCAAACCCGACTGAACCCGAACCCGATGTGACCGACCCGCTTAAGTAAGAGTTTTTCAAAATTATATACTTTACTACTCGTTTTTAATGTATAAATTTATATTTTCTGACAAAATTTTAATGATATTGCATAATTATCTTACTTTTTTTCTAAAACTTAAGCATTTTTTAAATTCCTTATATTGATTTGTATATCTAAAAATATTTTCAGGATTTAAAATAGAATAATCTAATAGATTTAATACATATTTTTTGATATTTTAAATTTATTTAATAGAAAAGGTAAGTGTTAATGTGAATTTTAAAATTTAAAAAACCAAAGTCATAACCCGTTGGGTTGACCCGAACCCGATGAGACTGGGTCATGAACATACTATTCTCAACCCGAACCCGAATTGACCTAAACCCGAAATATCCGAACTCGAAGTGACCGAACTCAAACACGACTTGACCGACCTTTTTGCCAGCTCTATATGCTAAGTCACCCAAGGCATCATTTCAAGGGTCTTATCCCCACCTCAATTTTATTCTCAGACATAAATTGTGTTTGCGTAAACAAAAAATAAGATTCGACTAACATAGGACAAACAATAATTTGGAATCAATTTACTAAAATAAGTGTTTTATGATATAATAAAATAAGATTTGAACATTCAGAATTCAAAGTATTCGTGTAGGGTTGCCAGGAGATTGATTTGGTCATGTTAGGGCAATTAATACGGAAACTACAGCCCAATTAGTAAATGGATGGGACAAATTGTCCGCGTTTAGGTCTCCAAACAAAACATATTTTCAACCTTGTACACAAAGTTTGAATGCTGGTCATATTTATAGGACAGTTTGTTTTAACTACTCCTTCCTTATTTTGCTACCATTAGAATTGTAATTGTCACACAATTAAAACTCATTGTTTGAGTGTCTCTTCCAACAACTATTTTTTAAAAAAATGTATGAAATTCATCTCGAGCAGAAACATTGGTAAGAAAATTGTTCGTGGTTGGGTTCGAAAACTGCTTTTGAACTTCTATTTTGTTAAAACAATTTAATTAGGGTGTTTGACAATCTGCTTCTCGAGGGCAGACAACAAGTACAAATGAATCTAGTGGGAGAACATTATTTGGCACATTGTTCTTCTGAACCAAGTTCCCACAGCAACAATAAGTACAAAAATCACTTGTTTGCAGAAATCCAAGTAGTAACAATGGCAAAAGTAACAATAAATTAGTACTAACCAAAAACACAATGTAATACAACTCGAATGTAATCATACATGAATTCAATGGGGGAAAAAAAATTGATTCTAAGATCCAACTAAGCATATCTAATCTGATCTCTCATGTAATAAAAAAAATGGAGCATACAACTAAAATCAATCAAAAGCACATACATATGATCTATGGCCACTAAGAAACATCAGGGTGTATATGTATAAATATGGCACAGGAGCCGAATCTAGGCGGCGTAGTGTCCACCGTTGGAGGCGGCGGCGCCGGTTTCTTGCCTGGCCTTGTTCTTCTTCTTCTCCTTGTGGTCCATGATCTGTTTAATGATTTCCAAGAGAACGGCGAGGGCGGCGAGGGCGATGATCCCCACCGTGTAAGCCCGCTTCCAGTTCTTCTGCCCGCCGAGCGCGTTGAACCCCTTGTACACATTGGCAACGCCGAGCGCGATCACGGCGTACCCCACCCCGCGGTGGTACCAGCTCCAATACACCCTGTACTTGTGCTCCGGGTTGGGCCTTATCAGCAAGGCCAGAACCTGCAGAGTGCCCAGCGTGAACAGGGTGATCCCGATGTTCCGGTGGGTCGTGTGGGTTATCCCCTTGGAGTCCGATCCCAGCTTCATCCCGGTGCCCCATCCGGCCACCCCCACGCCGTAGCCCGTGAGCTGGCAGGCGACGTGGAGGTAGAACCACGCCGGATCGGCGAATTTCATGTGCCGGGCGATCAGAGCCCCCATCGGCATCAGTACCCCCCAGCTCACCGCGTTCAACACGCCGTGGACCTGAAGAAGAAGGAAAAAAACAATCGGAATTGGGTTATTATATTGAAAAGGAAAAAGGGGGAAATTTTGATTTGATTTGGGGATCTCACGTTTCTTCGGCGCATAACAGAGGTGGCGCCGCCGCCATCTCCGCCGGCGCTCTGTCCGGTGGCGAAGTCCACGCTTCCAGTAGATTTGACGTTGTCTCCGGTGCTGCGGTGAATGGAAGGGATGCCGCCGGAGATGGGGCCGTCCTGCCAGACGGTGTTGAACCGGGTCCGGTTCGCGGGGAGGAAGAGGGTGGCGAAGATTGTGGTCTCCCCCTTGGCGAACACGGCGGAGAGATCGCGGACGCGGAAGCTGAGATTCCCCTGCTGAAGCTGCGTGCTGTAGCCGCTGATTGCGGTGGTGTAGGCGCGGACGCTGCCGTTGGAACTGGGAACGGCCACCAGGCACTGCGCCCCCACCATCCCGGATCCGCCGAGGTTGAGCGCCCAGGCCACCCAGGTGGAGGCGGTGACGCTTCCGTGGCGGTACGCGATGTCGGCGGTGTGGTTGCTCGGGTGGTAGGTCCAGTGGAGGAAGGAGACGAGCACCGGGAGGCGGATGCAGCCGGCGAATCTGGCGCCGTTGGAGAANTACCCATCCTCGCAGGTTGCCGGAAAGACGCCGGAAGGAAATTGAAATTGATTGAAGTTCAAGTCAAGAAAAGAATTGGTTGGGTGATGGGTAGGACTGAGTAATGAATTTGGGGGAAGCTGCCTTTTATAGACTTTTTTTCTTCTAATATTTAGATTTTCTAATTGGATTAGGAGAAGAAATATTAAAAGTAAATGAATTTTAGGGGAGATTAATAATTAATTCGACATTTCCACTCCCAAAAAAAAAGAAAGATATTTCCACGGTACAGTTGAATTTCGATTCCTTCCTCTGCTTAGACTCGGAGTCGGAGACCGTCATACTCACTTTGTACAACTCATTCAATCCCCTCCCCACACCACACACACACACACACACAATTACTCTATATTTTGTACAAAAAAATGTTCAAAAATATATATTGGAACCTAATTTAACGGCTAAAATAATGAATGTAAGAAAAACTTTGGCTTTATAAAAATCAAACCTAGTCATCAAGTGACATTGGACTTCAATATCATATAATGACTCCAAACACTGTGTTAATAAATTGATGATTTTTACTTTTTCTAACTCATCCGGTAAAATCCTACCTCGACCAGACCCAATCTAACCCCCTCCTCCCCCCACCCCACTTTCTCCTACTCATCCCATAAAACTAAGTTTATTTTGGAGTCAAAATTTGACTCCAAGGTCAACTAAATTTTGTGGAGTGAAATTTGAGGGAATGGGGAAGTCGATTCGAGTTGAATTGGAGCAGGGGGTTAAATGGGGGGATTATGCTATGTGTACCCCAAGGTTTGTACCCCAATTTGTACCCTGCAGTTTTGCACCAACACTTTGTGTTGGTGTAAAACTAATTTTTGTCAAACGCACCAACATTTGTGTCCGTGTGAATATTTATTAACGCACCAACACTTGTGTCGGTGTAAACCATCGAAATGTTTGTGCAAGCCTGTGGTGTAAATGGTCCTAAATGGGGGGACTAGAAGTAAGAACCATCAAATGTTTTATCTTTTTGAAAAATATATTTTTCTCATTTGATTACAATGGATCTGAATTTCTTTAAACAGAATTTGGACTTGGGAAAAGTTGGTCCACGGTGACGCGTAAAAGGAAGCGGCCCAGCCCATGAAAAATGAAGCTGGGGAGAAAGTGCACCGTTTCTCTATTTAAATTCAACGCGCTCACACTGCGCGGATTTCCAATATTTATTTGACTCAAATGCCCAAATAAAATGGCCTTTACTCTTTCTTGAGTAAAACGTAGATACTCCTTTTCAAATTAAGGTTGATTGTGTCACACTAGTCTCACCAATGACATTATTCAGGACAAATTACGGAGTATTCATTTTAAAAAAAATTCATTTAATTTATTTTAAACAAAGACTAGAATAAAAGGTTTATTAAATAAGAAATGACACAATTATATCAAAAAAATATTTTAATACGTTTACCTTGATAAATACGGATATGTTCTAGTGACACCAGAGTACGATAACACTCCAATGTCACAGACATTTTGGAGTACTCTTAGTGGTCCATTTACAAAATTAATGGTTCTTACTCTCCTAACCACCCCTAAACCCCCTATCTCAGCCCCGCTCCTGTCCCCCCCTCCAAAACCTTCATTGCATAATTGTCACATATTTGGATCAGGAATTAGGGTGGGGCAGGGGGTTTAGAAGGATGTTAGAAATGGTAGGAATAATCAATTTTGCAAATGGAGCACCAGAAATTCTCCAAAATGGATGAGTGTCATCCATTGACACTGAAATCCAGTGTCAACGAAACCCCACCGTAAAAATTATACAGAATAATTCTCCCTCCGTCCCTTTTTCCTTTCCTTGTTTTGACCATCAACCAAATTAAGGAGTCAATTTTTTTGCATTGACTTGACAATTTTACCCTCGGCTCTACCCTCAAATTACCCTCAAATTTTTGGCATTGACTTGCCAAGTTAATAAGAGGTAGGTAGTCACTCAAGCTCCAATTTCTACAACTCTACGTAGTTATTTGTTCAATCTCTTCTCTTGTTCTATGTAATAGTTTGCATTTTGAATTCAATTCTATTTTTTTGCTTGTTTTAATTAATTCCAAGAATAAAAAAAAATGTTGGTGTTTTTTTGAGTGTATGTTCTTCTTTAAATATTTATATTAAATCCATTATTAATGAAAATTAATTTATACTAGTTTACTTCAAATATTGTGCAAGTTGTGGTTGAATTGCATACTTTGATTTCACAAGTATGTTGGTATGTCGAATTCAATTTTGCTAAATCTATTTTAGTTTCATATTATATATAAATGAATTCTGAATTCGTAAGATCTTCTTTTTGGTGATTTGTGTTTGTTAATTTTAGAGCTAATGAATTTCTTAGCACAATAAGTTGATCCATTTCCTTCTTTATAGTGCAGATTTCATGGATGAATGGGTGGATTGGTAGTCTAAGTCCGCTAAGGGCCGAGTCGTAGTGGACCACCAAATAGCAACCCGGCTCTGGATTGTTGGCGAGGGTCATACCCCCCACGTCCTTGAGATGGTGGATTTTGACAGAATCTAATTAGTGCTAGGTCTGGATCCTTGATTTGGGTAGGATTCGGTTGCCAGTGCTCAGGGTTGATTATCTTGGAGGTCATTTCGAACGAATCGATGGAAAGATTGAAGATGGGATACAAGGGAAAAGAACTCGGAGTTTGAATGACGATGAAAGAAGTAGAAGGGGAAGAACAGTTCCTAATTGGCATTTATAGATGTTACAGTACAAAAATCAAGATATTGTGTGAGCGACGATGTGTCATTTCTGATTCGACACGAAAGTAGAGGAATTCTCATCACATTTTCTGAGAAATTATTATCATTCTTATGTACATCGTACTTTCATAGTTGGTGGACTCAATTCCATCAGCACTGTATGAATAATACTCCCTCCGTCCTAATTCTAACTTCCCACGTTGACTATATGTCATTTTTAAGGAAGTGTAAAATATGCATTGACTTTACTAAAGTGCCCCTAGAGTGTCCCACTTCACCCAAAGAACACAAATATCTGGAGCTGCAGATCTCCCACTTCTCCCACGACAAAGCACACAAAGAATCGGCGTTTGTTTGCAGCCTTGCGCGCCGGATGGGTGCGGATTCGCCGGCGGGGACGGCGTCTGGCAAACCGGAAACAGATCTGGAGCTGTAGATTTGTCGGCTTCTTGCCATGACATGGATCCGAAAAGCTTACCTGAATCGGGTACGGATTTGGAGCCCTTTTAGTTTTTTTTTAAGAAATATGACTTCCCCACTCTTAGATCTGTGATTTTGAGGAGGGGAAGAAAGAAGGAGAGGGAAGAGAGACGCAGAGGATTACATCTCTAGAGAAAGATGGAGAAAGTGAGAGGAAGGAGAGATGGAGGAAGAGGAAGAGGGAGAAGAAGGAGAGATGGAGAAAGAGGGAGAGGGAAGTGAGATGGATCTAATGAAGGGGAAGAAGGCAGAGACCGAAAACAAATGGAAGACGGATGACAACAATTGAGATGTTAAGGGTAATATAGTCTATTTACATTCTTTTTTAAGAAGTGGGAAAATAGTTTTAGGACGGAGAAAAATGAGAAGTGGGAAGATAGTTTTAGGACGGAGGGAGTAGCTATTAGCTCTTGCCTATTTGTATTGCTGAGGATATAGTACATATCTCCCAAAGTTATCATCTCCATTTGACATTTTATCAAATTGTACAAAGTAATACCCTTGCACACAAATTAAATATACTTAAAAATAAATATTATTAAAATGATATATCAAAATTTAAACCTGACCGTCAACACTTTATATTCATGTTGACCTTTGTAGTCGATATTTTCAAAATTTAACAATTAATTACTAGAAAAAATATATTGAATTGTGTTTAAAATTTAATAACAATAGATTAATTTTAAAATGTGGTTTTGAAATATTACATTAATTTTTTATAAGATATATTAATATACAATTAAAAAATATTAATGGTCAATCATAAGAAAATTAAATAGAAAGAAAGACAGAGAATGAATGCAGTGAAATTTACTGAGTACATTACTATTAAGACAGCATTCCATTCAACTTATTTGTTCTACTTACTTCCTCTGTCCCAAAGTATTCGTCCAGTTTTGACAAATACTCTGGGATGGGGTAGTATTACTTATTCTTAATAAACTCATTCTTATTAGATCAAATCCAATCAGAATTATTGTCATTATAATTGTTAGTATTATTATAGTTATTAGTGTTTAACCCGTGCCACGCACGGGCTTGAATAAATTTTTTGTCAATTCAAAAAATATTTTTCAATGCATTTTTTTCACCGGAATAAAGAAAATATATCTTTCGCATGTTTTGTAATAATATATACAAAAAATGCCAAAGAAGAATAAATATCATTTGAGGAATTGAACATAGATTCATCAAAGTTTGTTTTAGTACTAAATTTTCTAAAATTACTTTTATCTATGGTCTAGAACATTTTTGTTATGGTTGCAAGAATTTTCATTATCATTTAGAATTACTCTCTCCGTCCAGAAATTTTCTTTCCATTTGTCTTTTTACGGTTTACAAGATTACACTTTGACCACTAATATTTTTATTTATACATAAATATATTTTATAAAAATTTGATATTTGAAAACTATATATCAAAATCCACGCTTCCAGTAGATTTGACGTTGTCTCCGGCGGTGCGGTGAATGGAAGGGATGCCGCCGGAGATGGGGCCGTCCTGCCAGACGGTGTTGAACCGGGTCCGGTTCGCGGGGAGGAAGAGGGTGGCGAAGATTGTGGTCTCCCCCTTGGCGAACACGGCGGAGAGATTACGGACGCGGAAGCTGAGACTCCCCTGCTGAAGCTGCGTGCTGTAGCCGCTGATTGCGGTGGTGTAGGCGCGGACGCTGCCGTTGGAACTGGGAACGGCCACCAGGCACTGCGCCCCCACCATCCCGGATCCGCCGAGGTTGAGCGCCCAGGCCACCCAGGTGGAGGCGGTGACGCTTCCGTGGCGGTACGCGATGTCGGCGGTGTGGTTGCTCGGGTGGTAGGTCCAGTGGAGGAAGGAGACGAGCACCGGGAGGCGGATGCAGCCGGCGAATCTGGCGCCGTTGGAGAAGACGTGATCGGAGCAGTTCTGGGCGTACGAGGAAGAAGCCCCCGACAGGGCCAGAGCAA